CACCACTTGCACCCATTATACCAACACGTAAACTGGATAGCAATCGATAAGAACATGTTAGCCATTGTTTATTCAATTGTGCTTCACGTAATAAAGGAAAATGTCGTTCATGCGAAATAATGTGACCTAGACAATATTCAGACATCTGTTGACCATAAACAGGAGCTCGTGTTACAATGTAGTTATTATTTTTTGATTTTTTCACAATGGTATCAACACCAGCATACGTTGATTGGAGCCATTTTAAATTTGTTGTAAAATATTGATTTATAAAAGGTATAAATGTTAATGGTTCACCAAAAATAATATGAGCACTTCGAAAATATTGATGTAATTGTGGTATGTCATTCGGATTAACATAGTTAAATTGCAAGTTATTTGAAAACTGATTCACGCATGATTTGATAATATCAATGATGGGCTGATATTTAGTTGCTATTAAAACATTAATTACTTCATTTTGACCATTCATACTAGTAACAGTGTAACCTTATGTTTAAAAAACTATTGGAATGATGTGAATATTACACCATCGCTTGTGGAAGGGTCCCATTCACCGCTTACTTTTCTATGAAAAATTGTTCAACAAGTCACTCAACGCGAAATTTTCGAGTGAAAAACGTTTTCTGCTAAAACGTTGACTCACACATCAGTGACGTAGCTTAACACGCTGATTTCGAATATATTATCTTGCTTTTTATGGAAAATGTTTTTGAGTTGGAGAAAAAAGATTTTACCTAAAAAGTAAGAGAGTTTTTGAAATCTCATGCGGATTAGGTATGCACCAATATCAATCATTATCGAGGATATTGTACAATATTATTGGCTATCCAATAATATTGTGTCCCAATGTTATTGTATACCCAATCTGTTGGGACCAATAATATTGGTCACTCAATAATATTGTACAATAATATTGAGTAATATTGGGTTCGCAATACACTGGATTCCAACTTTTTAACCTTAATAGCATTTACCTTCATAAAAACGTGAAGAAGCATATCCCGATCGGGATTAGACATGTACCGATTAACAATCGACATTAGGGCATCCAGCAAAGCCGTTCCGAATCAGATTTCAAAACGCACTTAGAGTTGCCGAATATCTCATTTTGTAGAAAAATGTTTGCTCTACCAAACTAAAGTGCAAAAAGACATTTTAGTGTTATCTGCGACAGAAATATAAGCATCAAAAACTCACATCATGATCATACGTAACACACGGCGGATTGACTGTGTACTAACCCGCAGCGCGCCAATTCATAGCTTTTAGTTTTTAGTTTTTAGTATTCAGTATTCAGTATCTAACTTTTAGTTTTTAGTTT